GAGGAGAGAGAGAGGAGAGAGAGAGAGAGAGAGAGGAGAGAGAGAGAGCGAGAAGAGAGAGAGGGAGAGGGAGAGAGAGAAGGAGAGAGGGAGAGAGAGGAGACGAGACGAGAGAGAACGAGAGGAGGAGGGAGGAGAGAGAGGGGAGAGAGAGAGAGAGAGAGAGAGAGAGAGAGAGAGAGAGAGAGAGAGAGAGAGAGAGAGCTTTTGCAGAGTTAATCCATCCAAAAATCAACACTCGCTTGCCTGTGACGGTCTATTTCACCGTCACAGTCCCGCAGATGGGCTACCAACTAGGTATAGGTAGAGTGCGCCTTTTGCTGCTCAGCGCGAATGAAGGTATTTTTGTCCGTTCAGCAACATACATTCCTTCAATTTATCGGCATGTTTTATGCATATCATAATCGACTCTCCATAGAAATGTTTGAAGGCCGACCGTTTTCTCAATAAAAAACTACAGGAATAACGTTTCTCTCACTGCTTTCAGCGGTGAAGAGGGGGGGGGGGGGGGGCGGAGGGCGCGAACGCTGTCGTCCCGGTACAAAGTACAGGTACAAAGTAACGGTACAAAGATCCATCCTCGCATTACGAAGGTCGTCATTTAAGTGCAACTTGCGTTGGGGTTTGGTTTCTCCCTTGTAGGTAACCCCCTGACATTAGCCGCAAGTGATTTCATGTGCAATATTTTTGTGTGCACCTTCCGTGAACGCAGAGTGTAGTACAAAAACGCAATGCAAAAAGTGCAAAATTCAACCGCAAAAAATCTCTGTAATGTAAAAACCGGAATCAAAGACACGCTTTGGAGACCATGGCCAACGAAGGCACAAAGGCACGAACAGCAAAATACCCATGCCAAATACGGAGCTTTACATATGCAATATCTCAGTGCAGTCGTGCAGGAAACAGGCAGTGACTTGAATGGGAACAGCTCTCGGGTGTTTAATGCCTCAATTTAGGAGGGAAAAGGTCATTTTTCTTTGTAGAAGTTTCCGGCTATCTTGGGACTATCGGGTTTGGTAACGGTCGTGTCGCCTGCCCCGGATCCTGCCTGCGATATTTTCCTGTCGCCAGGGACGAGCGTTACCTGGAAAACCACGACGTTTGACGACAGAAAGGCAAACCAGTACGGGGGATGGGGGCGTAGAAATGAGAAGAGGAATTCTGCTGTCGTGCATGAATACCAATTGGCACGAGATGCGTCCAGGGTGGTTGCAGAACTCAGGGTGTTTCGGCAAACACGACTACCCAAGCACCGAACCCCATGCCATCAACTTATCATGTTCAACAGAGCAAGGTCGTTGCTGCACGAAAGCGCAGCAATAAGGAAAATGGGGACGGAGCAGCATTGCTCGTGGTTCCGATCGTTGTCGACCCGGAGAGGTGGTTCGGTGTTGATGGCGTGGCGCCGGAGCAACAGAGAGCTTTCACGCGTCACGTGCTCTCCCAGCGCTGCGCTCTCGGTGCGCTCAGCGCTCCGCGGCCTCACACAGGACAGCTTCAGACAGGACAGCGCGCTGCCTCATCCAAGACGACGCTGCCGCCTCCACGTCACGTTAGGCGGCATCCGCTTCCGTACTGCCGCGTTATCGTCGCCTGGCAGCTGGCAGATGATGCCGGCAGCCGGCGACTGCCCAGTCCTTCACTGACAGCGCAAGCCAGACGGTCGGTGCGCCCCTGACCGGTCGGGCAGCAGCGACACCCCGAGATTTACGGCGACATGACGCGCCGAGACGACCCCACATTTCTCCAATACCAGCCGGTATTTTGTCTAACACTGGGCCAACAAAGGGCAACAAGTTTATCACGCCGTGACCGCTTTCTTCATCCCGCACCGCCATATAAGGAGGGGCCATCGGGCTTTTTGCCCATTAACAAAGGCGTAATTTAGTCGCTAAACGGCACTAAACTTTATTGGACATAATCTCCGCACCGGCCGGCACAAAGGTAGCATCCAAAAATGGTGCGTCTGATCGTCGACGAAGCCCGCCGCCGCGCGTGATATAAATTAGCCGGCGTTATCTGGAGGGCCCGGCAGTAAAGGCCGAGGTCGACTTGACCTCTGGTTAGCCGCCCGGGCTGCCCGGCCGTCGGGCGGTTGGCCTCTTTTTGTGGTGATCAGAGACGGCACTCAGCGGCGAGGACAGGAAACACTCGACGACGGGGAGCCGTCTGACACGCACCGACCGACGTGGATTGGCGCATGAGTCATCAGTCTGAAAAAGTCAGCGTGTGATGCCGTTATGCAATTGCACATGGTTGGCAGACGGCCGGGCATGCATGTTAGACTATCGAGTCAGGCAGAACGTCGCGGGTAGCAAATTAGGAAAACGGCAGGGCCAATTTTCAGGGACATAAGTTGACAAAAATACTTTTCAGATAGCATGTGGTTCATGTCATGATTTGGGCATTTGACACTCATGCCATGGTCAAACCGTTTTCCTTGAGTATGGTATTTTGATTTTCGAAGTGTTCTGTTATCTACCTTATTCGCCTGCCGTGCTGAGATCCTTGAACCTTTGTTCCGATCACCAATGCCAAGGTTTGGCTTGATTACCAACTTTCAGCATCATTGGTGGTTAACATGCTCGTGCTTGCTGGTGAAATAGATGCTCAGCCGTCAACTGCAAAACGTGGGTAGTAAAACTGTGGTTTATGGTTTAGTGCGAAAGGAGCCAACGGGTGGTAAAACATGACATGCATCATGCAAATGCGTTCCTTATATTGTGCACGTGTACAGTCGTCCATGTCACTTTTAAAAAACCCGTGATCTACAGTAGACCTGCGACGAAGAAGGCTTTGGTCTTCGCTTGTCTCAACGTCAGCCGGCGTAAATATATCTCCTGTCTGTCTGACTGACCAGTCACGATTTGGATTGGCTCATATCTTGACAACAGCTGATAGTGCCACCATGTAACGTACAACGAATCACGACTTTTCTTTACAAGTGTGTCGTGGTATAACGTGGTATCTTTACGCGGCATGCTTGATCGAGTCAGATTTTCCTGCAATACTGCAATGTCTCGAAAATTTTATCTCTTACATTTGATAAACATGGGTAACGTTGATTTTCAGGACACCTTCAGAGCATGAGACAAAACCGGACCGTGATCTCGGCGTCCCGGGATCGCAGCGCCACGAGACAGACGCCGTTTGACGGGGGAGGAAGCTGACAGCCGTGCAGTCGGATCGGCGAGAGCGCGAGTCGATGCGTGGGGCTGGTCACGCGCACCCGAACGCGCACCGCTGGTCCGTTGGCTTTGGGGCGTTTTTAGAACCGCTGCCACATCGCGGCAACCAGAGGAAATACGAGACGTAAAATCGGCCGTATGGTATATGTGAAGTACCAGGTGCGAAGCGCTGACCGTACAAAGTATTCTCAAACTAAGAGGAACGCTAGCATTCTATAAAGCAGCGGTCGCTATCGCTTTTGAGACCGGATCTGGGAAACCATCTGATGGGTTCTCAGGCGGGGGAGGTAGGGAAACAATCATAGCAGGGAAAACCATACACCTCCCAGTGATGGCTATCAGTTGGCGTTTGGGCATGTTTTTGCATAGATAAGATGTAAAGCTGTATAAACAGACATGTCATTGCAATGCACACACAAATCACGTCGTCCTACCGCGCGCTCATAAATCTCAGGCAACAAAGACCACCTTGTCATGTTTTACGATCCTACCTCGTCCTCGGGTCGCCGAGGGCGACGGCGACCTCCTCTGCGGCGTGGTCGACGTTTTCC